TCTTCGCCGACTAAAGTTCTGCAAGCAGTTCTGGAAGAGCCATATGCATCTTGTGCATGTTGTAGTTCAACCAGAACTGATCAAAGCTCTTCGGCAGAGATTGGAGCATAATATCAACCTGGGGTTCCCCGTCGATAAAACCTCCCATAACCTCAAGCTCGTTGAGCAACGCCATGATCTTGAGGGCATGCTCCCTTACGGGTGTGCCTTCAGCCATGCGCGTAGTCATCAGAGCACTCATAGCATCTTGCCTAGCAGCCCTTGACTTGTGTCCGAACAAATTCTTGAGATTGAGGAGCATATCTATCACAGTGTTCATAGACTGATGCTGATGTTGAAGAACATTCGACATATATGCCAGAATGTAACACTTTACCATCTAATCAACCTTCTTCCACCGAGAATATTCCCCTTTCTCCTGCTCAGGAGCATCAGCCGCGGGGCTCTGTCGGGCAAGCCTTCTTGATAGCATACTTATAACCCTTAGCTGTCAACACTATGTCTAAGTTCCTCTTCCAATCAATATAATTAGGACCAGTAAATTGATTTTCTTTTAGAATGACAAATAATGGATTGAACGACATGATGAATAAGCCTGAGAATCATGAAAATAATTTTACAGATTAAACACTTTTGAATTTAACTGCTAATATTGACATCCTCAAAACAATATTAACTTAAATTCACCGACATCTCAAACCACCGAGAGTTAATGCATAATACGAGGGTAACCCTACACAACTCAACATTCGCAAGAGAAAGGCTTTCAAAGGCCCTTTAATTTACATAAGTCAAAACCAAATTCATGAGGAATGAAATTAATAGTCGGTCTTCATTTGGCCATGCAATAGAATTCAGGGATCACGAGGGGGGTTATAAATTTAATCGCATTCTAAATGAATCTCATTTATCAATCCTAAGTTCATACGGATTCGATTATATGTCATCCGAGGGGAAGCCCGTACTCTCTCATAATAATCTCTCTAATCGTCTTATTAGAAATTTATCCTGATAATTACCTACAATTAATTTTAGTGATGTCACCCGGGGGGAGCCCATATCGCAATTAATTGATTTACTGACAAATCAAAAATGAAGGCCTTAAGAATTTACACTGTAATTTAAAATCACTTCTCAAACTTAGTATAATTTAAATGAATTTTTCCCTTGACTTGTCAAAAATGAGAATTATTTTAATTATGTTTATAAGATAATGCATATCTAACAAAAATATTATTTACTGTTAATTTAATTTTTAATTTTTAAAAGTTCTTTTCAAACATGATTATATGTAATATAGATACCAATTAAAATATTTTCAAAAGATATATAATTAATTTGATAAATCAAATCTATACATATATAAAGAGAGAACTTATTTATCAAAAATAGTAATAAAAAAGTCAACAATTTTTGGCAGTTTTTTAATTTAATTTTCAAATTATTCTCAAAATATCGAACTATATATGCACCGTAAGTTCATTATTTTTGTGGATTTAATTTAGGTAAATTTCGATCGTTGCTTACATTTTTACAAAATTCAAAATTGTTTCCTATTTTTTTTATTAAAAGAAGCGATTACCATAAAATTGAGAATTTCATATTAAGCAAAATACTATCACATATAACTTTTCTTAATTACAATTTGTTTATTAAAAAAAATCAGATTGCATATAAATATGGTTAATTTTGGTCAAATCCGGCATGACAATTTTGTAAAGGTCAAAATTCTCTTATTTTTTTTTATTAAAAAAATTGTTTACCGTAAAATCGAAAATTTCGAATTAGGCAAAATACTAAACATGTGTCTTTAACCTAATTGCAACAGATTATGCTTATTAAAATAGAAAATCAGAAATCAGGCTCAATTTCAAATTGAAAATTAAAATTTAAAAATCCTTTATCATTTTAGCTACTACTTTATTTAGTTCAGATTTTTTTAAAACATAAAATAGAGTAAGATAATATTAAGTTGAAATTCAAAATGAAATTGGATTGGAACATCCTAAAAATTTGGGTTTTGTTTAATCCTCTATAATACAAATTTGAAATTGATTGCATACACTTATACATTCATTTCCTTCCTTAATATTACAATTTTAAAATAATAAAACTATAGATTATCATGGAAGACATTTTACAATCTCCGTTATATTTGTCATACAATCTTCATAAAACCAGTATAAATCATATAATATATATCCTGGTAAATAATTTAATTGATTTATCTAAGCATCTAGAATACTAAATTGTGGAGATAGACGATGTACCAAAAGATCAAACAAATAATATTGTGTACAAAGATGTGTTTAATAATATATAAGTCACATTTTATTTTAGTCCAATATATGCTCTTTCCAATCGTCCAATTATTCAAATCTAAATGTTTACTTTAATAAAATTAACCCGTGCATCGCGGGTACGCAACGATTTGATTGTGAAATAAAAAGATGCACAAAAATAAATGTTACTTACTAATACTGCAAATAAATATTTATGTCAAATCTGATTCAAATAAACAATGTACATACGAACTAAATTATGAAAGCACGAAATAATATCATTTACATATTCTATTGCTTTCCTTTTCCAACATCCCATGATAGAGCTTCTCACACTAATTCACTTATCTTTCTCCGTCCACTCTTCAATTCTTTCTTCTCTCTTTCATCTTCTCCTTCATATCTCCATCTTCAATTCTCATCCCAAATCAACAACCTTTTTAAGAAAAAATAAAAATAAAACACTGAAAAGTTTATTTCTCTAATTAATGGCTCCCGAGACTTGGCTGGTCAAGGTGAAGAAGACGATCGCCCAGAGTCTCGACTCGGTGCGCGCCGGCCCACCGATCGCGAAGAAGCTGCTGAACAAGAGATCAAACGTCGGCGTTTTGGCCTTCGAGGTCGCCGGCCTCATGTCCAAGCTCCTCCACATATGGCAGTCCCTCTCGGACCAGAGCATCACCCGACTCCGGGCCGAGTCCGTACGCCTTGAAGGTGTTCGAAAAATTGTCTCAAACGACGACGCGTTCCTGTTGGGCCTGGCCCGGGCCGAGCTCGTTGAGAATCTCAAATCCATCGCTAAATCCATCTCCCGCATCAGCCGGAGGTGCGAGGATCCGTCCCTCCGGAGCTTTGATCGCCTGCTCCGCGAATTTGCTGACTCCGGCCACGACCCGTACAACTGGGTTCTCACCCCGAAGGAGATGGAGTCCAAGATCAAGAAAATGGATCAGTACGTTACCACCACCGGCAATCTGCACCGGGAAATGGTTGAGCTCACGGCCGTCGAAACTTCCCTGAAGAAATCACTTGCACAGAGCTACATCAAAGATTACTACATAAACGACGCATCCGCCAAAGAACAGAGGCTAATTGACTTGCAGCACAAGATCCTCTGGCAGAGGCAGGAGATTAAGTACCTAAAGGACAAGTCTTTATGGTCCAAAAGCTTCGACACGGCCACATTGCTGCTAGCCCGGCCCGTCTTCACCATCCTCGCAAGAATCAAGCTCGTTTTCGGAGGCGGGCCCGAGTCCCAACTGTCCCTTCCCCGCAGCCTCTCGTCCTCGTCGGCCTTGGTGTACCCATCGTCCGAGAACCCGATTTCCTTCGTCTCGGGCCCTCTTGTAAAAGTCCCGCCAAACGTCGATGGGTTTTTCGAGCTGAATTCCAATATCTTAAGGCCTCCCCCAACTACATTGGGAGCAGCCGGATTAGCCCTACACTATTCGAATTTGATAATTGTGATGGAAAAAATGATCCGGTCGCCTCATCTGGTCGGGGTCGATGCTAGGGACGATCTATACGCGATGCTGCCTAATAGTATTCGTTTTGCGCTGAGGGCCCGTCTGAAGGGTGTCGGGCTCTCGGCCAGTGATCCGGGCCTGGCGACC